AAACGGCGCGCGCCGGCCGGACACAGCACGGCCCGGTTCAGCGCCAGACGGTCTGACCGCCACGCCGGGCCGTTCCTGTGGGACAGGTGACACAGGTGACACAGGTGACACAGGTGACACAGGTGACACAGGTGAGACATGGACAGGTGACACTGGACAGGTGACAAACGGCGCGCGCCGGCCGGACACAGCATGGCCCGGTTCAGCGCCAGACGCTCCGAGCGCCACGCCGGGCCGTTCCTGTGGGACAGGTGAGACAGGTGACACAGGTGACACAGGTGACACAGGTGACACAGGGACAGTTGAGACAGGTGACATTGGACAGGTGGAACAGGTGACAATGGGACAGGTGACACTGGGACAAGTGACACTGGACAGTTGGGACAAGTGACATTGGACAGGTGGGACAGGTGGGACAGGTGACACAGGTGACACTGGGACAGGTGAGACAGGTGACATTGGACAGGTGGGACAGGTGACAATGGGACAGGTGACACTGGGACAGGTGAGGTGGGACAGGTGACACTGGACAGGTGAGATGTTACAGGTGAGGGACAGGATCAGAGCCAGGCGGTCTGAGCGCCACACCCGGCTGTTCCCGCCCGATCCGCCCATCCCAGTATCCCCAGTATCCTCCAGGTAATCCCAGTTCATCCCAGTTCATCCCAGTTCATCCCAGTTCATCCCAGTTCATCCCAGTTCATCCCAGTTCACTCACAGCAGGAAGAGCCCCCGGCGGTGCCCCCGCAGCTCCCGGTGCCCATCCCAGTTCATCCCAGTTCATCCCAGTTCATCCCAGTTCATCCCAGTTCACTCACAGCAGGAAGAGCCCGCGGCGGTGCCCCCGCAGCTCCCGGTGCCCATCCCAGTTCATCCCAGTTCATCCCAGTTCATCCCAGTTCATCCCAGTTCATCCCAGTTCATCCCAGTTCACTCACAGCAGGAAGAGCCCGCGGCGGTGCCCCCGCAGCTCCCGGTGCCCATCCCAGTTCATCCCAGTTCATCCCAGTTCATCCCAGTTCATCCCAGTTCATCCCAGTTCATCCCAGTTCACTCACAGCAGGAAGAGCCCGCGGCGGTGCCCCCGCAGCTCCCGGTGCCCATCCCAGTTCATCCCAGTTCATCCCAGTTCATCCCAGTTCATCCCAGTTCATCCCAGTTCATCCCAGTTCACTCACAGCAGGAAGAGCCCGCGGCGGTGCCCCCGCAGCTCCCGGTGCCCATCCCAGCTCATCCCAGTTCATCCCAGTTCATCCCAGTTCATCCCAGTTCATCCCAGTTCATCCCAGTTCACTCACAGCAGGAAGAGCCCGCGGCGGTGCCCCCGCAGCTCCCGGTGCCCATCCCAGTTCATCCCAGTTCATCCCAGTTCATCCCAGTTCATCCCAGTTCACTCACAGCAGGAAGAGCCCGCGGCGGTGCCCCCGCAGCTCCCGGTGCCCATCCCAGTTCATCCCAGTTCATCCCAGTTCATCCCAGTTCATCCCAGTTCATCCCAGTTCATCCCAGTTCACTCACAGCAGGAAGAGCCCGCGGCGGTGCCCCCGCAGCTCCCGGTGCCCATCCCAGCCCATCCCAGTTCATCCCAGTTCATCCCAGTTCATCCCAGTTCATCCCAGTTCACTCACAGCAGGAAGAGCCCGCGGCGGTGCCCCCGCAGCTCCCGGTGCTCATCCCAGTTCATCCCAGTTCATCCCAGTTCATCCCAGTTCACTCACAGCAGGAAGAGCCCGCGGCGGTGCCCCCGCAGCTCCCGGTGCCCATCCCAGTTCATCCCAGTTCATCCCAGTTCATCCCAGTTCACTCACAGCAGGAAGAGCCCGCGGCGGTGCCCCCGCAGCTCCCGGTGCCCATCCCAGTTCATCCCAGTTCATCCCAGTTCATCCCAGTTCACTCACAGCAGGAAGAGCCCGCGGCGGTGCCCCCGCAGCTCCCGGTGCCCATCCCAGTTCATCCCAGTTCATCCCAGTTCATCCCAGTTCATCCCAGTTCACTCACAGCAGGAAGAGCCCGCGGCGGTGCCCCCGCAGCTCCCGGTGCCCATCCCAGTTCATCCCAGTTCATCCCAGTTCATCCCAGTTCACTCACAGCAGGAAGAGCCCGCGGCGGTGCCCCCGCAGCTCCCGGTGCGCGCTCCAGGCCGCGATCCCCATCCTGCGGGGGAAGGGCCCCTCCGCCCGCAGCAGCTGCGCCGCGTCCCGGGGCAGGAGAACGTTCACACAGTCCAGGGAGCCCACGCGGTCCCTGCGCCCCAAAAACACCCAAAACCACCCCAAAAACACCTCAAAAACAACCCCAAAACCACCCCAAAAACACCTCAAAAACACCTCAAAAACAACCGAAAAACAGCCAAGAACACCCCAAAAACACCTCGAAATCACCCCAAAAACACCTCGAAAAGAACCCAAAAACACCCCAAAAACAACCCAAAAACACCCAAAAACAACCCAAAAACTCCTCAAAAAACACCCCAAAAAACACCCAAAAACTCCTCAAAAAACACCCCAAAAAACACCCAAAAGCTCCTCAAAAAACACCCCAAAAAACACCCAAAAACTCCTCAAAAAACACCCCAAAAAACACCCAAAAGCTCCTCAAAAAACACCCCAAAAAACACCCAAAAACTCCTCAAAAAACACCCCAAAAAACAGCCAAAAACTCCTCAAAAAACACCCCAAAAACACCCCAAAAACACCCCAAAAACAACCCAAAAACAACCCAAAAACACCCCAAAAACAACCCAAAAGCTCCTCAAAAAACACCCAAAAACACCTCAAAAAACACCCCAAAAACACCCCAAAACCGACCCTAAAACACCCAAAAACACCCCAAAAACACCCCAAAACACCCCAAAAACACCCCAAAACACCCCAAAACCGACCCCAGAAACACCCCAAAACACCCCAAAACACCCCAAAAACACCC